CACTCTCTTCTGCTGTAAAGGTTGGCATATCATCCAGACTCAAGTCTTCAAAACAGTAGATATAAACTTGGTTTATATCTGGGATGAAATCCAGATCAGCAGTGTAGTGGTGTGCAGGTAGGTAGGATGCACACAGCAGCTGCTCCTTTACCCAGTTGGCAGCTTTCAGCACTACCTTCATAAAGGTTTCCCAAATTTAACATGCAAGAGACAGCATTACTGGATGGTGCTGCTGTCACCTGAGGAGGGTACCTGGCACACTTTGGACTGGGAAAACCCTGGAACCAGAGCTGTGACAGAAGTGTAACCTGTCCCATTCATCTCAACTCAGATCATGCTCAGGTGCTGTCATTCCTCTTTACTTTCATAAGGTTTAGGTAGAGACTTGCTTAATGCTTTCCCCTTTCAACAATATATTTATAATAATTGAATAAGTATATCCATTAAGTAAATTTTATTGTGATTACAAAATTTTTTTTTTTTTTTTTTTTGCCTAATGATAGTGTTTGAGGGGTGGGAGGAGAGGCTTTATATAAGGATGAATTAGCAGTGACTCCTGAACAGCTGACAAGGATGAGAAGACAATTGTGTGTGCAGTTTCCCAGACAGCGCTTCTGTCTTGGTGTCATTCAGCAGACTAAACACAATTTTCTTACTTTCTAGAGTAACACTCAGAGCTGGTAGAGCTGCCAGTCAAAGCTGTCAGCGCATAAGATACAAGATGCTGAGTAGATCTGTAGTGCCAAATAAACTGTTCGTGCTTCCCTTTCATCTGGCAGAGGAGTTGCTTCATTTCCAGCTGCTCTGGGTGGTGGTTGGAGGTGAGACCTTTTACAACCCCCAGTCCCGCTCTGTGCTGGGCAGCAGGCAGTGGCAGCCCCTGTGCTTCCCTGACGTCCAGCCCCTGTTCAGGCAGACCAGAGGAGAAGGGCGAGGGGACTTTGTGTGCCCTTAACTTGCTTGCATGATTAAGTGTGGGTCAAGACAGTCTGACACCTGTTTTGCAGTTTCTGCTTGATAAGCTTGACAAGGAAATTTGGCAGTGAATTAAGCTAGGAGGGCCAAAATGGTGCTGCCAAGAAAGCAAAAAAGCCAGTCTCATGTGAAGGATGGGAGCACAAAGTTGGGTGGGAATCCGGTGGCAACACCAGGTAGGCCGCAGAAAGTGATTGCCAAAGTTGCTATTAATGTGAATGGCCTCTGCCATGTAAAATCAGAATGATTTGATGGAGTGGACCTCTGCAGATCATCTGGTCACAGCTTCCTGCTCAACAGTTGATCACAGGAGACACAAGGGTAGCAAAATGTATGTATGAGACACGTGGTCGGGAAGTTCCATATCTAAATGTGTTCTGACTAACTTGTGCTGTTAATGCTGCACTTACATGTGCTGGTGGTATGACCCTGAGCAACCTGACGCAACTCAGATATAATTTAGAAGTTGGCCCTGATATGAGAAAGGGATTTGACCAGATCTCCTTCCAAATTCTCATCTAAATTACGCAGTGAATCTGTAATTCTGTACGCAGTGAATGTAATTCTATATGCAGTGAATCTACAATAAGAGGCAAAACAATGTTGTATTGTGGGGTTGTTTTTTTTCTTTCTTCCTTATGAGCATTGTGCTATGTTAACATTTGCATGGTTCTCAGTCTTTTTATGTATTCTCTACTTTTTTTTAATAATTTAGTCTTACACACCTTTTTTTTTTTCTCTTGTCAGAATAAGAACAACAGGATACTCTATACTACTTGCAAAGCAAAAGAACGTGTGTTAATTGCAAAGTATTGTACTGGTGTTTACTAATTAATTTTTGCAGTAACACTGTTAGAATATGTCAGTGTTTTCTTCATTTTAGAGGCAAGGAAACAAATGAGAGGTTAAGCAGTTTGATCAAAGTCACAGTACAAGTCAAGGACATAGTTGTCAATTAAAATTTTCTTTTTATATTCTGCTAGTCTATATTGCCTCCCAGTACTGAGGTTAGGTAGAATATTGCAGGCAGTTTGCTTGTGGAAGTGCAACTGAATGTTAAAATTCAACAGGGATAAAATCTCCTGAGAGCAAGCCTTATAGGAATCTGTGATACTATAGCTGGAAGAGTAATTAAATGGAACATCATTGCTTTATAATGAAATAGCTGTTGCTTTTGTTGCTTCTTCATGAAAATAATAGTGTTACTTTATCACAATTACAGTCATGTACAGCTCAGTACTGGATCTTGTGACTGGCACTTGTACGTCTTCAGAAATAACAGTTCCTGTGGATCAGTGCAAAAATCACTTCTCAAAAAATCATGAGAACAAGGGGTTACTTCTAATATGATTAAGGTCTTGATCCTGTATTTTCTTTCCTGTTTTTCACATCACAAGCTTTTCTGAGCCTGACAGCATTTAAGAGCTTGACTTGTGTCAGTGACACTGAAGGCTAGGCTCAGTTTTGATGGATGCGGTGGTGCTGAGCTTGTTAGCGATTCCTCATCCTAGATCAGACTGGCATGTATAAGTGAATTGGCACATGAGCTTTCCATGATAGCTTTTCTTTGATCCCCAATACAATTTATCCTTTGCTTACTTTTGTAAAGATTAAAAACTTGTGTGAATGTTTAAGGCTCACAGAAAAAGGGCTGAGAGGCAGCTGCACCTGGGGATGGAGCTAAGCACAGAAGCAGAGCCTGAGCAGTGGCTGCGAATGGGAGGGGGAGCGACTGTGTCACAGTAACACTGTGCAGTCTGCAAGGAGCACAGCTCATCAGCTAAGCCTTTAGTGTACCAACTCCATCTTGAAGCACAGAATCATAGAGAAAACATGGAAGGGAAGAGAAAACAGGCTGTAGATTCAGGTAATCTTAGATCTAGCTTGCTGTCAAATAGAGATCAAAGGCAAGCATTGATTGTTTACTTCTGTTCCTATAGAGATCTGAGGGCTATAGGCAAGCTAATGATTTAGAAACAGGCTCCCGTTGGTATTCCGGTTACCACAAATCGTTCTGATTCTTTGTCCTCTTTGTTTTTCTCTTATAGTAAGAAAGGTGAGAACAATTGTATTTGTGTGGGAGAACTTCCTCTACTGCCTTGTTGCAGTAAGAAAGTTTGGCTCCTCTGCAGGAACTAGGCTAGGGCTCTCCATCCTGCTGCTATATAAGCTGATGGGAGTCTTGAAGGCATTTGGAAACAGCTGTAAAGGAGTTTTAAGTGTTTGGTGGTGGCCAGAAAAGAGGAAAGATCATTCAAAGAAGTGCCTTCAGAAATGTCAGTGTTCTGATACAGAAATAGTATGTCTAAGTGTTAAAAGCACTAAATGCTCCCATGTGCTGCACTAATTGCTGTGGCATGCTGTGCCTGATTTATATCTCATTAAATGGAAAGTGGAGATGTGAAGGAGATGGACCACAGGTGTGGGAGAGCAGCCCACAGTTCTTGTGACTCCTGGGTCTAAAACTCATCCCTGAAGCTGAGGTTAAAGCATCGTGAAACTAAACAGGTGATGGAGTTCTTGGCACCTTGCAGTGACTGGGGAAAATGTGAGTCAAATACTTATGTTTGGGATGAAATACTCTTGAATAATCTGGGTGGGAAAAAGAATTTCTTTGTTATCACCATGGGCATCACTCCTAACCAAAGGACACCTCCATTCCAATCTTTATCCTTCAGGACCTGGCTCAGAGATTGGTGTCTTTCTTAAAGCTTAGAACCAAGGACCTCAAAATGGGAGATGATCCCTCTCCTGTTTCTTCCATTCCCCAGGAGTTCATCCCTTAAGAACCAGCAATAACATACTTTCTCTTTTTTGGTTAGGTAATATCATACTATAAAGCAGTGTTGAATAGTAGCCTGTGATCTCAAAAAAGCTTACATTTTAAAACCAAGTGTTCATAAATCAACCCCAAATTTATGTGGCAGGAAGCAGTTGTCAAGATTTCATTACTGGAAGAGAAAAGCAAGTCGGAAAGAATCTGCAAGACAGTCAGAGGAGAGGAGACAAAAATGAAAAGACATATTTGAGGCCATTGTCAATTCAAGTAACGAAAGAAAAGAACAAAGGAAGCAGGATTAGAATTTTTGTGCACTTTACCCAGAGCTTTTGTCACTCAAAAACGTTTCACCGGGAAATTGCGTGTGCATACACATTTTTGGTTTGCAATGAGTAGTTGCATAGCTATTCTTCGGCATCTGTAATACAACACTGATCTTTTGTGAAGCTCAGCATTCACTCTAGCACTTACTCACAGTGTGGAGAGCTCAGTGGACCTGCCTTGTGTGTGCCTTTCTCTCTTCAAAATGAGAGTTCCTAGCATGGCTACAGCAATTGCGTCAGCATATAATGCTTTTTTAATATAAAGTTTGCACTTTAAGTGCTTTGAATGCAGTCTCACAGCTAAAAACAGACCCACATCACGTATGGCCCTACTAACTTGCTGACGTGGTTCATGGTTTGGAATTTTCGGGCTTAAAATCTCAAACTCAAAATTGATTAAAAAACAATTGCTAGAACCGAGGACAGATTATAGCCTAGGATTAGGTACGTACTTTTCTAAGCAACTTGCTTAGTTCTGAACTGCTTTTTTTCTTGTAGTGATTTAACTTTTGAAATGGTTTCTATATACTGCGTATTGAAGGAAAATTCTGAAGTGTCTAGGTTCATTGTACTTGGAAGGGCAATAAATCATCCTGTTCTGTAACGGTGCACCTTTATCTTGTGTCTTTCTCCAGATATCTCTGAATAATGATGCTACTGTATATTCCTTGAAGATTTTATCAGGTGGGATGGGAATTAATGTTCCTTGCCCTTTCTGTGAACAGTTCTACTATTGAGAATAGCATACTGTGGAGAGACTGTACTTTCATTTCAAAATTTTGCAATGGAAATGATTTTAAAATAAATTCTTCTCAAGTGAGGAAAAAGTATCTTAAGAAATGGATTGAAGGCTTGTTTGGTGACATGGAGACCCCCTCTAGCAGTTGTGGGACCAGATACATAAGGAGTTATAAAATACAATATATCTGAAGACATATTTATTAAAGAAGAAAATGAAAACATTCTGTATAGCCAAAGAATCCATTTTAACTGGCTTAAACAGTACACTGAAACTTGTCTAATTCTGAACTGCTAATATTTCTTATAAGAGATCAAACAAAAATGCTTGGAAATGAGTTTAAGGCAAAACTTTGGGTGAGTAGGTGAGGGACTTAATAATGAAGTAGTTGAATGTATTCAAATATGATTTAAGAAAGTAAAAAAAAAAAAAAGCACACGTTTTCAGGATAAAGGGACTTTGTATGAAATCCTCAAGGGTTCTGTTAACTGTAGCACTCAGAGGATATGAGAACCTTGCCTTCATTCAGTCTTTCATTCAGAAGAGCAGGACACCAAGGTGTGCATGAGCTTTGCATACAAATAAATTTATTTTTTACATATATTTATAGCTTTATCCATTATTGATGTGCAGCCAGTGGCACAGAAGATAATATATGACTTCATATTTCTGCTTGGCAGCTAGGAGTGATTCCTAGGAAAGATTAAATGTGAACTGCAACTGAATGTGGAAGGGACTCAGAGGCTGCCCAAGCTCCATGAGGCCAGTCTAGATTTGTTCAAATTTCTTGTGTGCTGCTGAAGAATATGCAAGCAAGATAACTTCTGGATCTTTAGTTAAAAGGGAACACTAGCTGTGTAGCTTGTGCCTGTTTCTGCAGTGTATTGTACGAAGGTTGGAATAGTTTGTCTTGTTATAGTGCAGAAATTAAGTGGGCATTTAAGTGTTTTGTTTGGCCTGGTGGTCCCAGGCAGTCAGATTGTCTGTATGAGTTCCTCGAGATAAGCTTTTAACAGACTCTAATCTGTATTGGGATAAAATAGCTGTGCATATGAGTATTATTGGCTTTTCAGGAAATTTGAGTAGTCCTACGGAGTTGCTTCAGTTCCAAGTTACTTGCTAAACATTAAACTGCTATGTTCTCAAAACAGTTAAATAATGTGGAAGTAGAGTGCCCCAATGTGCTTTGGTTAAGTGGGATGCTAGTACACCTCTGCTGGCATCCCCAAAGTAACTAGCTTTCACCTTGAAGCAACCCAAGGCCTGGAGAGCCCTGAAGCATGTTGGTGGTGGTGGCACCCAAAACTTAAATGGGATGAAGGACAGGGCTAAGCATTTGCATCTGTAAAACAATTTCCAAGCCTATGTATTGATGGAGTGTCAGTTCCTAAGGAAAAATAATTGGTATACAGGAGTGATACATAACGTTCTGTCCTGGCTGAACAGTGAGTGATCTGAGTGTGCACAAAAAGCTATAGCAAATACTTGGTATAATGCTGATAAGCTGCCACAGCTGCTTGTAAACCTGCTGAGCATTTTTTCGCTGAAGACCTTTTGCCACCTCTGGAGCACTTCCTCCTTCTTTGGTCTAAAATTAGAGCCCAGACTAGAAGGGGAGCAGGGAGGAAATCAGTACATTTTGACAGTCACTAGGGTTGCTTTTTTCTTGTTTTTTTTTCTTTTTTTTCTTTTTAATTGAAGCAACTAAGAACTGGATTCAGATGTTCTTGGCTTCCTCCTGTCTTTTATAAACTATGGGATATGGTAGAATTATGTCTCCAGCTTTGTAGCACGAAGGATTAACATAGACTTTAAACAGTCCATAAAGCTGTCAGAGTGCAGCATAAGCTCATAACAGTTCGGCTCTGGGCTGACCTGTGGGCTCTCAGGTAGCTAGGGAACGCTTGGACTGAGACAACAACAGCAAAACTGAGTAGAGAGCTGGTAGCTGAATGGCAAACTCTGTGTCGCTGATTAAATGCTTTTGTCTTTACAGGCCGGGTTTCCTTTTTCACCTCTGGATCTGAGAATCTTCATCGGGTGGAAAAGGTTCGCTGGGGCACTCGCTATGCCGTCACCATCTCCTTTACTTGCAACCCAGACCACGGCATTGGGGATCCGGTCCTGACATAATTCCTCCCGGGATGGAACGTGAGGTCGAATGGAATGAGAGAAGCCCTGCAAGAGGAGAGGAAAAATGGAGATAATTTTATAGACTTGCATTCAATTAGAATTTCCCAGCTGTATTTTGTTATATAAAAAACATTTTGTTTTCATGTCTTCTTTTCTGTGGGTGTTGCAAACAGTGCCTTAAGGACCATCTTAAATTTGGTATGTTCTGTAACTGGTTTGTCTTCATCTTCATGTAGAGTCCTGCAATGGGCTCTTCATTTTTCTTTCATTTTTCTTTCTTTCTTTTTTTTTTTTTTTTTTTTGAATTTGATTCTTCGGTTTAAAAGATACAGACCACCTTTGGACCATATCTTGATATGACACCACGTGCTTCTGTTACCTGTTATTAAATTCTATAGTCTCTTCCAGTACTAATAGGATTTGGAAACTTTGACCTAATTAATACAGCAAGATGAGCGTTATTCTTTTGGACATGTCTCCTGCTGAGAGGAATGTTTTCTCCTTTAGCATGGGCATTAGTGGGCGATACACCTGTGGTTTGACTCCTGGGCTTTACTTGAACTTTTTTTTTTTAAATTAAATGACTACAGATATTTTCTGCTACAAGCAAGGACTAGTTAATACAATGTCAGAACTACAACCTTTTAGTTAGCCAGAAAGCACATCACTTCAGGATTACAAATGTTGTGCATTAGGGAGTGGCACCACAGTAGGTTCCTCTGACCAGAACGCAGCATTCCCAACTTGCCTCGCTTTCTCAGTGGTGTCTTAAGAAAAGTGATTAATCTCCTGGTTGCAAGTCCCATCCTAAAGTTATTCAGAGCTCCTTATGGGAATGACTTGACCGTATAACCATGTAAATTATATTTATGTAAGTATATTAAAAAATGTAAATGTATTAAAAGGAGAGCTGGGCAGAAGAAGTCAAACAGTTTTCTGGATTCAGCTGAGCATTCATAATTACCAAATTCTCAGTTAGGACAGTAGGATCTGGGAGGGACACAGGTGAGAAGAAAGTTAGTTTTGTGGTGGTTTTCCATGCGCTGGTGCTGGAATTCTTAGACTTGATCCTGTAAACTGACTTGCTGCTTGGACAGCCGGATAACAAAACCATATGGACCAGTTGTCTGTTGTATGTGGGCTCTTACGGAAATTAGCATCCACTTACATTTTAAATTGAAATGCTCTTGAGCTGGAGCTCAATTGTATAAACACTTTGAAACATCTATTTATTGGGCCAAAATTAAGTTTTAAGACCAAGTTTAAGAAAACTTGATTTTTGTTACAGTTGATATAACTTACATATCCTGTATGGTGAAATACTGTTTAGCTTGTCCAAAACAATGTTTTATCTGTTTCAGGAAGTTTATCAATAGCTTTTTATAGACTTCTTTTTTTTTTGGTTTAATATGAAGACTTCTGTTAACTAGGATCATTAGTCTGTGATGTTACTTGAATAATAAATCGCAAGAACTTCAGGAAGAGTTGATTGCATTGTATTACAAATGAAATAAAACAAGTAATCTTGCCAACTGCCTTGCTTTCTTACCACAATCAAAGGTTTTTGTGGGTCAACACTTTAAGTATATCATAGGAAAAAATATTTTTTCTTCAAATTTTGAAGTGAGCATTGATTTGGTTTATTAATAGTCTATCTTTTCTATGAAAATGAAAATGTGGGGATGTGCTTTTTTAATGCATACAATTTCATGTAATTTTCATTTTTGTTTTAATCTCTCCTTTTATGGAAGTTGTAAGTATGGGGGAATTACACTGAAGATGTAATAAAGAGAATGATGACTGGACACTTGTGCTATTGTGAGTATTTTAAGTTGGCACACCAGCAAAATTGGTCTTCTATAATTTCATGTCTTCTGAAAACTGAGAAGGGCATCCTTGCTAACAAGGAATTGTTAAAAGGACTGGATGCTAGGAAAACGATAGATGGGTTCTGTATCTAAATACTTGTCTCAAAGCCTGTTAATTCAAAGAAAGTTGCCTCACACCAAAGTTGTATGTCTATGTAAAGACCAGACACCAGCAACAGCTTTAGTGGGTTAACACTTTTTTTTGACATCACTTTGTGATTTAAATGCAGGGCCTTTTCCACAAAAATATCAAGTATCAGCAGAATCTAAATATCAGTAGACCTCTGTGGATTTTTTTTTTCACTGTAAGTTTTCTCATTAGGGCTTTGTAATTTTAAAAAGTGTTTATTAGTTACTTCTCTGTCATGCAGGCTTTGAGTTGCACTAAGTGAAAATAGCACTTTGAGAACTGCCCTCTCTAAAATACTCCTTATCAAGACCATGTTAGACCATGGGGGAAATCCCAACTAATCTGCTCTCAGGTTTTAATCTTCCAAAGCTTGTGTGTGTTGTAATATCTTCCAAACCCGGTGTTTTCTCCCATGCTGTGAATTGACTGACATTCAGAAATAAAATCAAGTTGGTATTTGTGGTTTCTGGATTTTTTAAGCTTTAGTAATGTGTTCAATATGATGACCAAACCTGTCAGATGTGATTTGTGAAAAATGCATGTGCTGTACCTGGTAAGAGAATTCACGTTTTGAAAGGAGCATAATAATTCAATATGTTGTGTTCCAGTACTAATCAACATTTTATATTTGAAGCTTCAATATCCGGACTACTAAAAGCAATATCTAGATCTATGAAGAAATTAAATAGCAAATGAGGAAGTAGAATACAATCTAAAAGATTCTAAACATAGCCTCCAGCAGGGGAATAATAACAGCAGAAAGGCTAATGTTCCTGGGGCAGCTTGGAATTTGCAGAATTCAGTGATTGTTAGAAATAAGCTTGACTTAATTTATTTTAGTCCCCATAAATGCCCCCAATAACTTTTTATTAAGCGCCTCTCTCCCTGTTTCTTGACAGGTAATTCTGAATTTGAAATACTTTAATTTCTGCTGATGTTTCTGTCTGTCCTCTTTCAGGTTCAGCCTCCCTGCTGCTACTGGGAAAGGCAGTGCTCTTTTTCTCAGAACTCAGATTAGGTCAAGGGCAGGATTTGTTCTATGAAACTCCTATAAATCTGGTGCCAAGCTGCTGCAGACAAGTGCTCTTAATCGAACGCATGGTAAAAACAAAATCTGGCTTGATGTTTCCTGGGGGTGTGAAAACCTTTGTTTAGAGCCCTTGTGGTTCAAGTAAAGTAAAGAAAGGTCAATATATGTTCAGTGGGGAACTGGGGTGAAATCTGGACATAAATTTGCAGCCTTGTACCTTAGAGCATACTCATTTCAAATATTTGGGAGTGTTAACTTGTACGTTGAAATAAAATCATTTTTAAAGAAAGGTAAAGCCTGCTTGCATGAAATAGAAGCCAGGGTGAAATAGAAAATATGTCAGGAGACCAAGCCAGGCTTTGAATCCTTCCTAAAACATTGGATGAGGCTTCTGGAGGACTTCAGATTGATTATACATGTACTACCCTGAAAATAATTCTTCTATTCAAAGGTGTTGGAGAATATCTTTCTTCTAAAGCTACCAGGTGTGAGATCAGGTCTGGTCTAGCACATACCTAGGTTTTAATGTTATAGTATGCATTTTATTTAGTTTTACAATTTTATTTATTAATCCCATACAACCTAATTCTAGGAGCTTCGACTGGATTTTTTGGGATATTTCATGTTTAAAAATTTTGTTTCTGTAAGCAGTTGTGTAATCTTTTTTTTTTTTTTTTAATATTTTATTTCCCCATAAATCAACAGAAGTTTTGTAATGTTTACACGATTTTTTTCCAATTTTCCAAATATGCATTGTCTATATATTGGATACGTAGCTCCATCTAAATGAATTTCGGGTCCAAAAATGCTTTCCAGGATGCTCTATATACAAAAGGATTTTATTTTAGATTTACATCAGAAATTTAGCTTCAGGTCTTAATTATTTGCTTTGATTTATATGATAACTTCAGAAGGGTATGTTTTGAGGCTGTAGCACATGATGTGTAGAAAAAAATAAAAGAAAACTTAAATGGCATTGGTAATGACTATGCTATCAAGAAAACCTGGTTTTCTTTCCTCACTTGCAATTCTTACTACTTTTGAATTTCTCCTTGACAGCTTTCCTTTCCTCGTGTTCCATCTACACTCAGATATCTGTGCACTGCCTTTACATGTGAATTGGATTTCTCTGAAGCACTCGTGTCTGGCTTTGTACACTATTTCTGCCTTGTCTGAATCCTAGGAGCAAAGCAGGTACGTTGCTGGAAGTCAGGGCATTTCTGTGCTACTGCTGAGAGCAGGGGGAACTACAGCCACCCTACTTCTCTTCCCCCAAGCAAAGAAAGAAAATCCCAGCTCTTGTCTCTCCCTTTTGAGTCTATTGTGAGGAAATCCAACCAAAGATTCCAAGAATAGCAGAAGAGTTATTTCCTTTATGAACCACAGATGGCTGCAGCATGCATTGATCATTTTAGCCTCGTTCAAGGCAGACTTCTTAGGAAATCCGGTGGTGAGAGCTGTAGTAAAGTGGTGGGTAATTCCCCAGTAAGTGTCTATTGCTCCTTGTAAAACACTGTGGAGAACTATAGCAGAGTTTGCTTTATCTCTGCTTTTGTAAACCTTCTTAGGAAACTCAAAGCTAATTTTACAGCATGTTTGCTGAAACCTACCATTCAGCTTTCCCTTAAAGATAGCCCATTTATCCCTAAAGCATCCATGTAGGCACTTTTTATCTTCCATACAAGCGTTGTTGGCTTGTACTGGAGCCTTTCAGGAAGGAAAATAACTGATCCATTTCTGAACTGCATGTTTGTCTTTGATTCTGTCCATCATCTCCCCTCAAATCCCTTATGGCATCTCTCAGTTCTGTCCTACCATACTCAAGCTTTTCCCTACAGCGTAAGAGCAGTCTGTTATTTATTCATAGCCTGGCTTGCTAGAATACTTTGGGACACTTGTAGGATGGTACTGGCACTGCTGTTGTAGTAGTATGGGGAGTGCTCAGCCTTGTGCTGTCTGATGAAGGCTGCAGCTGCCTGGAAACACCAGGAAACACACAACAGAGCCCATGTCTCAGGCAGGGATGGGTCATGCTGATACCAGCACCGATTTGTGGGCAGGCAGCATGCTGTGTGCTGTCTGAGGTCTGTAACACAGGTTCATGGCTGTTCCTTTACTTTCTAAAGGATTAGGATTGTCCTAAAGCAAGAGATTTCACTGAACAGTCTGGGATACAGAGTGAGCAAGCCCCATGTTGTTAATTGTAGCTTTACCATGCTTGTATCTGTAAATTAGCAATGCCTCAGGCTGCTTTAGTTCTGTACTGTCTTTGACACCTGGTGTATTTCAGTGGACAGACCCTGCTATACTCACACTTAGCTCATCTTTCTCAACCATACTCAAAGCAGCCAGCTTTTTCCTATAACCTTCTTAGCCCATGAAGTGTGTTAATCTTTAAGAAGAATTTTTTACCTTGGTGAAACTGTCAAATCTTGCTCATTTTTTTTCCCATTCTTTAGCATTTTTTTTCCAAATGTTCTCTTATTGTTCATCTACTGCAGGCACTGTCCATAGTTAAAAGGACACCCTGTATTTCACAGAGGTATTTGTTTCCGTCTGGCCTGTTTTCTTACATGGCTGAAGTAACAATGAGGTAGGGATTGATGCTGCCCGCTCTTGAATATCCTTGTCTTTTCATGGTAACTTGTGGATAGTGAATACTGAATTTTGAAACATACAAGAAAAACTTTTTTTGCTGCTCTTTATCAGAGGCTGGTTCGCATTAAGGAAGTGATCTTGTTAAAGGATCCCTGCTGGTAGAGTTCTTCCTTTGTGAAGTCTTACTGATTTTAATGGGACCCTACACATGCAGATCAGACTTGCAGGATCATGAGAAATGCCTTGCTTAGAAACTTCTCATTGTAAAATTGATAAAGCAGCCTGGAAGTACCATCTCCTGTATTTCTCTAACCTTTAAATGCATCCAAACAAAGCTAAACCTTCAAAATATCTAGGTTGACTGTTGGGTAATCATGAGGCTTTCCAAGGAATCTGGACTGGCTGAATCTCTGAGCTGTCAGGTCAGATGCACCATCAACTATGTACCTCCCTGGGACTTTCATCTGAGCCTTCAAGCTGAAGACTCGGTGGTGCAGAAGCACAGGGGTATGTGCCTGAAATCAGCACCTCTCCTAGAAGAAAATGATGTTTAATTTATAGAGAGAGGCAGCGATTTACTGAGTTTCTGGAAATCTCTTCTAAGAGGCCTTTAATGCTTGAAATGCTTGTTTTACAAATGGATACCCTTCCAATTCTTCAGTTAACCAAAAAAAGAAAAGAAACAAAAAGTGCTGAGTAGGTTAATAAGCTATGACTTTTCTGGACAGACACCTTGAAAATTTGGCTCCTTTTTTTTGTTCATCAATTTATACAATGATATTAAGCTGTTTATCTGGGTGCCAGGATACTTTGCTGCTGACTTCACAGAAAAGCTTGATGTTTTCTTTTGAGACTGCTTCTCACTGCCAAGACAAGGTCTCTAGGTGGATTCACACCTTGTAGGTGACCTTCTTGGCATATTAATTCGGCAACCATTAAATCTGGGGGGAAATAAACAATGGTGGGTCCTAATGGACTCATTTTCCATGAGTTGGCAAACTGCGAATGGTAATTTCTTCTATCTCCTCTAGCAGACAAACATTTTTATTTTTGGTATATGCTGTTACTGAAGAAGGGATGTGTTCTGGGAGTCCTCTTTGCATTTAGGGCTTTAAATGTGACGCACTGAACACCCTTTTAAAAAGAGAAGGTCACGTTTCAGCAGATGATTCAAAACTTAAAAAGGTGCTGTGAAACCAGATCAACTCTAAGCCCATTCATTCCTTGCACTTCTCAACAGAAAAGGAATGAGAAAAATGATCTTTCACTTGCATTATTTCTATTTCACTGCTGAAGTTGAGGGCAAAAAATGCATTTTCTTATTTTTCTTTTTCTGTTTCAGAGGGAGATAAATTACTTAGGAAGGAATTCCATTCCACTGGGAGGAATATGATCAAATAAACTTTGCTGTTTACTAGCAAAGAATTATGACGAGAAAGAACTGTAACATAAATAAGTCAGAGTGATAAGATGGTGATAGAGAGCAGCAGATTTCTCCCATGCTGAAATGTCCATATCAATGTTGAATTCATGCCCCCCAATCTGCTTTATTTTTTTTGTTTGTTTGTTTTTAAAAAAATCAGACCAACAACTGGACACTGTGAGCTTTTAGGGAGCAAAGCTCTTGCTGTTAAATCTCTTCATAAACCTTTCAACAGGACCTCTTCCCTAACACCTTTAGGCTATTTATCTCATCAATATTGTTTTAATTAACAGTGAATGTTGAATCTGCTATGTTAAGAAAGCTGTGTTTCATCCATCTATTTAAAAATAATGAATTAAGCTTTCCTCTGCATATACCAGCTTTTTTTTTTAGGTGGTGGCAT